TTCTTTCCTTCAGCCAGTTCGTAGTCCACATTTGCTGACTTTCCAATTAGTTTCCAAAAATAGCTAAAGAATTCTTGTTTTCTTTTTTTTTTCAGATGTACCTTGTTTTTGCTGAAGTTTCAGTCATCTCATCTGTGCTTTGAGTCATTAGCTTCCACCTGTCTTTTGAAAGAATATGACTAAGCCACTAATACATACTAACTTGCCTCTGGTGCTTTTTTAAGCTGAAGTGGCTCATTTCTGACAGTGGGTAAGCTTTTGTGTTACTTGGACATCCCCCATGTCTCTTAAGACTCTTTCCACAATGAGATGCTAGTACATTTAAATTTTTTCTCTGTGATTCAGCTACTGAACAAGAAACCTGTATACAGAACACAGGGTCCCATATCCTTCCTCTATGCCCTTCCATGAATGTCAGAATTTCTTACATGCAGAGTGGAAGCACAGAAACACCACAGGTAAGCCAGCTGAATATGTGGCTCTGCAAGGCAGAGCAGAGTTACCTATACACTCACTTTAGCAGGGCATTGTAGAGTTTCTTTCCAAACTTTTCTTTCACAGATTGTGCAGTGTCCCTAGGAAATTAAATAAATATATATATAGATCAGGACAATCCAGAACAAAGATAGATTTTTCTGCTGCTGGAAATTAAATTGTTCTTTCATGTATACGATGGAAATAAGAAAGCAGAGGCAGATAGGAGTCTGCTTCTCAAAGCTCTCTTATCCAGCCAGCACCCACACTGATGGATTTCAACACAACTGTGGATTTTACCTGCCTCCAAAGAGGAAGGCACTGTGAAAGCCAGAAGCAGACCTCACTAGTGATTACTTCTAATATTTTTCTCTGAGCAGTAGACCACACTTTCATCTCAGCTACTGAAAAGAGAGCACATATATGACGCTACATAGAGAAACATGATCATTAATATTGGGCACTAATCAAGACTGAGAGGTCTCCAATTTAACTTGACCTAGTACCAAGATGTAAGATATAAGAGTCAAACAAATAGGGATTTTAAAGCAAGCTTCTCCCTTCACTTTCTGCCCTATTTTCTAACTCAAAGACTTTTGAAAACAAGTGTTAGACTAAAAGGAAATTTGCCATAAATTAGTTTGCAGACCAAAAAACTTCCTGCAAAGCTCAGGCCATGTTTTAAGCTTATAATAAAGTCTGTGGCAGACAAACATTATATTTTAGCTAAGAACTAACTCCAGTGAACAACAGTTCTAAATGCAAAGGGTCATTTGCTGAAATAACTTAAAAGTATAGCTGGAAGTCCTATTGTCAAAAGAACAAATGCACTCTCAATTTGAGTAAAACACGCACTTCATGGAACTTTTCCTGCCTTTCTGATTTCGAAGAATTCTACTTTAGGCTAAGACAAAACTTGCTAGGTGAAATCCTAAACTTTACCAAGCTAAGAATCCTGTTTTCAGTTGCTCTCTCCCAGCTCACATAGATACAATAGTGGATGAGTTAATTTTATATGAGCTGTAAAGCAACTAAATGTCAAACCATAGTGATCCAAATGCTACCAAGCTAGTTCCCTCATTGCTATATTTTCATAGACTCATGCCATGAACAATATCTAAAACTCAACAGGATAGACTAATTTTTCAGAAGCAGACAAACTGAGGGATTTTATATGCCAGATTAGCCATTGTCTATTCCTTTACAATGCCAACCTCTCCTTGCATTTAATTTCTGTATAATCCTTAAAATAATCTAATATTATTATGTAATAGTGATATCAGGTGGTTTTATCCAGGAACTCCAGTTTATGACCATACTAATACTGCATATGATGATGCAGAGGGTATTTTGCTTTTCACAGAGCACAGTGGGAAGAATAGTCAGAAGCAGCATTTTCTGCATGATTTCACATCTTTAGGTTTACCTTTACTGTTATGATTGTGCCTGCACTACTGATTACCAGAGAAATAACCATGTAGTAGAGATACAACAGGGAAAAATATATTTCATTTAACTTTCTTTCCTAATATCTATATATCAATTATTTAAAATGTACCTGTTGTATTATATTCAAACATTACATACTTGATATAAAAGACAAAGCAGAGGCCAAAAGCACTTGTTGCAAACATGGCTGTTTCTCACTGCACTCACATTATTTTCCTACAGTTCTTGTGTACAGAGTTCTCATTACAGACTCTGCCTGTGTTACCCCACTTTAGCCATCTACAGTTTAATCTAGTTGAGCAGATCCTCCACACATCAGCAGAGGGTGAATCTATTTCAAAGGATGATTCCCTTCAGTCACCTTAGACACTTCCTGGAGTGGGATAGGATGAAACATTATTTGGAGTGAACCATCACTCTCCAGTGTTAGTGGAGGCAGCTCAGATACGGTACTTTTAGGAAGCCAGAGTTGGACAATTAATTCCAACCTTTACATCTGTGATACCTGTTTCCAGAGTGGTAACCAGGTAGAACGTTTCCTTTAAGTCCCAAGAAGTTGCTCTGTGATGACTCCAGAGACAATCTAGAGAGCAGATAGATTTCTCATATTTGTCTTCTTTTCCAGATATGGCAAAAGCTAAATTATTTCAATGATCCTTGTTAAATTATTTCTGCCACTGTTTTTGTGCAGGTTTAGTATCTGTTAATCAGACTTCAACTTGATTACTGATATCCAGAAACTGAGCCAGAGATCATCTGATAGAGGCAGTTAATGAGATATAACATTAAAAAATAGAATAATTCTTCTACATGGTGCCTTTCATCTATAGATCTCTAAGTTGTTTAGATTTCTATCATTTTATAAATATAGAACTGGCATCAGTAAGAGGCTAAACACAGTGAGACACAAGCATAAAAGCAGAAGCTAGGTCTTGTGGGTTGTTGTCTCCTAGATTTAAGACCAGCTTCCTTACTTCTGTAGCAGTTTAACTGCTCTAGCCACCTGATAAGGTGCATATTTCCATCTCCCTGCTTAGATAATTAATCTGTAAATATATTGAGTGGAATGGCATTTTTCACTCTTTTAAACAAAATTTCTCCTTGATAACCCACTACTTATGAATTTGAACCCTCAGTTTTGCCATGTCTCTCAGTTCAGAAGTACCTCACAACATGTGTCTTTTCCTATGCAGAATCACATAGCAGTTAAAGTGAGGCGAAGGTTAAGTCTGCGCCTGCTTTGCTTTTCTGTTTGGAAAGTTGTGAAATGAAAACTGTTAAACTAAGAAGGGCTGTGAGAATTTCCCTTCTACAGGTGTAAGTTTCACTGCTTGGGTATAGCCATTGCTTACTGCAGGCTAAATAGAAAATTACAGACAGTTGTTATCAACTGTTATTCTTCTGGATTAGACAGTACAATTTCCATATTTCTAAATAAAGGAGGATGTATAATTAACTTTTTTTTCCCACTGGTAGCAGAGAAGCTTACTCTGATAAATTAACAGGCAGTCGTTATTTTGTGGGAGCTCAATGGCATGTCTGAAGGGAATACCAGAAACAGTCAGAAGCCATCCAGAACACTGGATTTTCTAGAACCTTTGACTTTGTCACTGCAAAACAAGTACTGTTTGCTAACTTGTTGCAAAGAATGGCAAGGCAAGTTTACTAAAAATAACCTAGGACAAAAAAAGATAAATATTTGCCCTTATTTATCATTCCCATCTCTTTCATCCCGGCCATCTCTTTCATCCCCACAAATACATTCTAGGTACCCATAGTCCTCAATTTTAGCAGAGCAAAAAGAAAGAGCATTATTCTTCATCAGAAACTTTTGCATGTTTCCTCAATTCACTGTACAAGTGAGAATGCTGATTACCAGAGCTGCTTCCGGACTGCTTGTCCTTTCAGGGTTTCCACATTGAAATTGTTTGTCTTTGCTGGCATGATGAAGAACACAATAACAGTAACATCTGTCTTATGAACCTACATAGACACAAGATGGGGAGGAAAAAGAAAATCTTACTACAAGGTATCACAATCAAATTTAACACTAAGAATTAGTCATAGGAAAAGAAAATACACTTTGGTTGTCCAGGAAGGCTCTGATCTTATACCTCTCCCTTGAGCTATGAAGTTTTAGTCAAGTCAGAGATAGAGCTGAGGATAGATACAGGTAAACAGAAGTCACAGAGTTCCAATTTGGACAATAGTGATCTTTCTGCCTTCTCACAGTTTAGAAGCCATGTCTTAGGACATGAACATAAACTACAAAAAATAAAAATCCTAAACATTTTCTCATCTGACACAAACTATGTTGGCTCAATGGGGATTATTCATCAGACCACTGCAACACTGTGAATTTTAATGCAAGAATCCCATCCAATGTGATAATAGTACTCAAAGATTTAAAAGATCATGGTCAGATCCTAACGATTTAAGCAATTTGCTTTAAAAGATATTTTTAAACTGCATCACTAAAGGATTAATTTTTGCCTTTGAATATGTAAACCTTCAGGGTAAATTCTTGAATTGTATTTTCAGTATTTTCCTCTACAAACAAGGGAGGTAACCATGGAATAACTTCTTGAATTATGTAATAATTATTTTTAAGCAGCCTAAGATTGTTATATACTCTGATGATTCAGGGAGAGAGCTTTATGAAAACTCTAAATATCCCATAATTATTTTCCTATAAACCAGAGTACAGCAGGAAAATTCTTGTGGGTGACTTCCATAGTATGGCAAGTCCGAGCATAAGCTCCATGTTATCTACATTTGCAGAAGCTTTCTTACCCTCAGCAAAAAGTTTAATCTTGATAAGGCTTCTAGAAACATATCAGCTCCTTTGTTGGAGAACTCATATCTCCCAGAAATGAAGAAAAATAAGGTCTTCTCAAGACTGAAGTCAAGGTGGCTGAAACCAAGCAAACAGACAAGCACAAAGTATTTCTCAACATATAATCAAACAAAACACACAACAGCTTTCTATTCTGAAGGAAATTATTATCCCAAGAAAATAATGAAAATGAGGCTTTTCTGCAGTTCTTTAAATTAAGCTGACAGTCTGATAAACTGCTTCTTGAGTAAATAGTGAAAAAATAAAGACATTTTGCCTGATCCCACAATCTGTTAAGAAGACTTAGAACCAGTATCTAAAAATCCTTTAGCTTCTGACAGAAATCCCAGACAGATACTTGAATAAGTTGGTAACATTTCACTTCTTCTATGAAGTACTTGTAGTCTTCCTGCTTTGGTTCTTGCTTTAAATAGCATTGGAAAACCATTCCTAATTTTTGAAAAGTAAAAGCATACCCATAGAAATGACCTCGAATGAACTCTTGGATCCTAGCCTTGTACATGGAATGCAAATTCTGAAACTCATGCATTGCTGAAAATTTCTTAATGTTCAAGCCATTTGGGGTGACAACATCTGGAAAAGCAGAAAAAAGGCAGAGGTAGACATCTTCAGTATCAGAGAAATCTTCAAGGAAAAACCAACGTGTCCTTCAGCTGTCAGTATGTGAATAGTTTTGGTACTCTTATTACATATGGAGAGGGAACAGCACTGTCTAACACAATGGTCTCCACCATCTTATTCCACAATGCTATTGCATGTGGCATTTCACTGCCTATAACACTGAAGTGGCTTTTTACCATTTTGACCTGTACTCAACA